CGAAATTCCGTATCGATGCGATCGAACGATCCGAGTCGACTGGTAGCTGTTTACGTATATCTTCCGAACTCATGAAGATACTCTCGAGATGGGTCCAAGTGCGTTGCACCTCGAACCAAACGGTTATCACCTGATCGGCTATCATTAGCTTATTCTGCCATGTTGATACCTCTTCGAGGAAATGGGCGATGTACTTGGATGTTATTAGATTCTGTAGACAAACTTGATTATCTTCGAGAGTCTCTATGAGTTCTTCCGAGGCTCTGAGGAGATTACATCCGGTGCGTGGATGGAGTTCATGATCAAATTCCATCGCAGACCATGTTGTATTCAAATCTCGCAATATCTTCTCCATAGACATTTCCTTGACGGCCTTGTCTACAATATTCTTAACCTCTTCTTCACATTCGTGCAGATTCAGGCCAAGTAGTTCGGCTAATGTTGTTTCGTGATCCATTATAATTTAACCTAAAGTTAAGGTAGAGAAGTAAATGTGACAGTTTCATTATTGTGGAACTATTATGTTGAAAGGACACATAGAAACATGTTCATCATGCAACTAGTGCTTTAAGTAGTATAAGTTCGTGTGAGGACATTTACTTTTTGATTTTTGGATTATTTATTTACAATATATTATTTGAAACTTACAGTTATTTCCTTGGGTAAAGCTGATAAACTCTGTAAAGATATGTATTTACAAAAGCTGTACAAGAATTTATATACATTTAAAACAGAAGCTAAATAAAAATCTTGTGACTATACATTCGGATAACCTTTTTAATCGTTTGATTAAGGGTTTCATAGTGACAAACATGATGTTTTTATTGTTTAAATTAAAATTAAATTAAAAATTTAAAATAATAAAATAGAAATACAACAATTCTATCAAAACAAAATTTTTAAAAGTTTGTGTTCAAAAGATCTCTAGCGTGCTGGAAAAAGTGGTTCCAATATACCCCTCACATTACTCAGTGCTTTAGCAACGTTTTACTTTGGAAAGAAATAGGCTCGGCACCTTATGAACTATTGGAAGTATCGTAACAAAATTTTATATAGATCGGCATCCTATGCGCAAAAGTCCAATAACAAGAAAAGTCCATTATAAAAAATCTTAAAAATTCTGAAATGGCCGAAATTAATGCAACAATTTTTGAAATATTTTTCTGTATAACCTCAAAATTACGACCTATTTCGATAAAATGCGGAAATAAATAAGCCTCGCAAAACCCGTCATAGTACCTCTCAGGCCCATTCAACCTTGACCATAACAGTGAAGCATCATACACATTGAAGCTTCTGAATATGTAAATTTGATGCATCATAAGTGGAGATTTTGATACGGAAAAACAGGTTGAAGACCAAAAGTTGTAGGCATTATTCCCTGAAGATTGTAATCTAACTCTGGAATAGCTGGCAAACCATTCAGGCCCATTCAACCTTGACCATAACAGTGAAACATCATACACATTGAAGCTTTTGAATATGTAAATTTGATGCATCAGAAGTGGAGATTTTGATACGGAAAAACAGGTTGTAGACCAAAAATTGTAGGCATTATTCCCTAAAGATTGTAATCTAACATAGGAATAGCTAGCAAAACCATTGGCAGCTACTTATGTAAATTTGATGCATCAGAAGTGGAGATTTTGATACGGAAAAACAGGTTGAAGCAAAAATTGTAGGCATTATTCCCTAAAGATTGTAATCTAACATAGGAATAGCTGGCAAAAACCATTTTCAGCTACTTAAGAAGCACTATTTGTTCCGATCGAAGTTCGTTAGTTAGTCAGTTAGTTAGTTAGTTAGTTAGTTAGTTAGGTAGTTAGTTAGTTAGTTAGTTAGTCAGTTAGAGTTAGTAGTTAGTTAGTTAGTTAGTTAGTAGTTAGTTAGTTAGTTAGTTAGTTAGTTAGTTAGTTAGTTAGTTAGTTAGTTAGTTAGTAGTTAGTTAGTAGTAGTTAGTTAGTTAGTTAGTAGTTAGTTAGTTAGTTAGTTAGTTAGTTAGTTAGTTAGTAGTTAGTTAGTTAGTTAGTTAGTTAGTTAGTTAGTTAGTTAGTTAGTTAGTTAGTTAGTTAGTTAGTTAGTTAGTTAGTTAGTTAGTTAGTTAGTTAGTTAGTTAGTTAGTAGTTAGTTAGTTAGTTAGTAGTTAGTTAGTAGTTAGTTAGTTAGTTAGTTAGTTAGTTAGTTAGTTAGTTAGTTAGTTAGTTAGTTAGTTAGTTAGTAGTTAGTTAGTTAGTTAGTTAGTTAGTTAGTTAGTTAGTTAGTTAGTTAGTAGTTAGTAGTTAGTTAGTTAGTTAGTTAGTTAGTTAGTTAGTTAGTTAGTTAGTTAGTTAGTTAGTTAGTTAGTTAGTTAGTTAGTTAGTTAGTTAGTTAGTTAGTTAGTTAGTTAGTTAGTTAGTTAGTTAGTTAGTTAGTTAGTTAGTTAGTTAGTTAGTTAGTTAGTTAGTTAGTTAGTTAGTTAGTTAGTTAGTTAGTTAGTTAGTTAGTTAGTTAGTTAGTTAGTTAGTTAGTTAGTTAGTTAGTTAGTTAGTTAGTTAGTAGTTAGTAGTTAGTTAGTTAGTTAGTTAGTAGTTAGTTAGTTAGTTAGTTAGTTAGTTAGTAGTTAGTTAGTTAGTTAGTAGTTAGTTAGTTAGTTAGTTAGTTAGTAGTTAGTTAGTTAGTTAGTTAGTTAGTTAGTTAGTTAGTTAGTAGTTAGTTAGTTAGTAGTTAGTAGTTAGTAGTTAGTTAGTTAGTTAGTAGTTAGTTAGTTAGTTAGTTAGTAGTTAGTTAGTTAGTTAGTTAGTTAGTTAGTTAGTTAGTTAGTTAGTTAGTAGTTAGTTAGTTAGTTAGTTAGTTAGTTAGTTAGTTAGTTAGTTAGTTAGTTAGTTAGTTAGTTAGTTAGTTAGTTAGTTAGTAGTTAGTTAGTTAGTAGTTAGTAGTTAGTTAGTAGTAGTTAGTTAGTAGTTAGTTAGTTAGTTAGTTAGTTAGTTAGTTAGTTAGTTAGTTAGTTAGTTAGTTAGTTAGTTAGTTAGTTAGTTAGTTAGTTAGTAGTTAGTTAGTTAGTAGTTAGTTAGTTAGTTAGTTAGTTAGTTAGTTAGTTAGTTAGTTAGTTAGTTAGTTAGTTAGTTAGTTAGTTAGTTAGTTAGTTAGTTAGTAGTAGTTAGTTAGTTAGTTAGTTAGTTAGTTAGTTAGTTAGTTAGTTAGTTAGTTAGTAGTTAGTTAGTTAGTTAGTTAGTTAGTTAGTTAGTTAGTTAGTTAGTTAGTTAGTTAGTTAGTTAGTTAGTTAGTTAGTTAGTAGTTAGTTAGTTAGTTAGTTAGTTAGTTAGTTAGTTAGTTAGTAGTTAGTTAGTTAGTTAGTTAGTTAGTTAGTTAGTTAGTTAGTTAGTTAGTTAGTTAGTTAGTTAGTTAGTTAGTTAGTTAGTAGTAGTTAGTTAGTTAGTTAGTAGTTAGTTAGTTAGTTAGTTAGTTAGTTAGTTAGTTAGTTAGTAGTTAGTTAGTTAGTTAGTTAGTAGTTAGTTAGTTAGTTAGTAGTTAGTTAGTTAGTTAGTTAGTTAGTTAGTTAGTTAGTTAGTTAGTTAGTTAGTTAGTTAGTTAGTTAGTTAGCTAACGTTACCCGATCCACTTAGGCAAAATTGGTTTATAAACCACTGCGCATCAGTATCGATTTTTATCTTTCTTGGATTTAATTTGAATTATTTTTAAATTGATCATGAGTTTTGAAATTGAAGGGAAAATTATATAAAAATAATATTTATAATTTCTAAACACCATGTTTGTTTTACTTACTTAATACTTTAAATTAAAAAAATCAAAATTTTAACAACATATTATTTACACAAGATAAATATTTACACAATAAAGAAAAAAAATTCAAACTAAGTAGATAAAAAATAACCTTGGTGGAATTCATAAGTTGATTCCAATGACGTTCCCTAATGGCGGGATTTTGTAGTTCACCCTACTGCCCTTAAAGAGGTCAACATATTTTTCACCGTCGATTCTAAATTAATAAAAGTATCCCAAGTGCGCATTTCTTTATCCAAAAGACGTATGTCTTTGGCAAATTTTTTACACTCAATATCCATATTTTCCACATCAACTTTACGCCAGGGTGTGGTCTTCCAATCCTCAATGCAGGTTTGAACTATGAAAACATAGTCCCACAATTGCTAGATTTCGGAAAAGGAAACAACAAAATCATAAAATTAAGATAACAATGTTTATATTTAGCTTGAAGCAAAAAATCCCCTTTAAGGAATACTAGATCCTTTTCAAAATTCAAAAAATCAGAGGATAGCATTAGAAAAATGTTTTCAAAAAATTATATAACATTTTTAAAATAATTTTTATCTTTTCTTACCCTTAACTTACCTTTAACATTCTTAATTCTTTGCGACATTGTTTAAGTAACTTAAACTCGGGTATATTAACCTCAAAAAGACTACCCGATTCTTGTATTTCAGCCATTTCACATTCCAGTCGATACATATCATCATTAATGCGATCAGCCAATAGATAGGGGTCTTTACAATCGTAACGGAAAAAGTCATAATGTTTGAAGATATCACGGAATTGTTGTACATAAATCTCAAAAGCGGCCACCTTATTGCGTATGCTAACCACTTCTGTAGCTTGTAGTGGAGAAACTTGTTGCTTCACGGTTGAGGCAATTTTCTTAGTATTGGCCCATTGTTCGGGTAATTCTTGTAGTAAAACATTTACTTCTTCGGGTATATCCATGTCATAGTATTTCAATAGTTGTATGGTTTCTTGCATTGGTTCAAACATTTCATCGGTTTTGAGGGCCCGTTCCTTAACATGCATTAGATAGGCCATTATATTAACCAAACCTTCATAGTCGCCCTCCTTAACTGTTTGCAATAAACCTTCATCGGCTTTACGTATAAAATTGCTTAAATCCATTAAACTGGAAGTAACAGTAGTTACCAAATGGGTCTTAAACATATTGCCCCATTTGCAGACGGTATTTAAAAGAGCCTGTCTAAAGGGTCTTACATCCACCTGGAACCAAGAACTGAATACCTGAAATGGAGAAATATCCTCTATCTCATTGAACAAACTTTCATAGTTATCAATTTGTTCTCGAAAGGCTTCAATTGTGGGTGGACACGGCTTGGGAGCACTAGGATCATTCATTTGTATCAATTCAATTTCATCCACATCCAACATTCTTCCATATTCCAAAAAATATTCCATACATTCATGACGATCATCCAACCACAAGTAGGAATATCTTTCGAATTGTCTACAAAACATGGCGGCTTCTTCCATTACCAAATCGACCCCATTTAATATTTCTCTTCTCATGTCAATAATATCCTGATTCTCTTTAACCATATCACCATAGCTGCGTTTTTCGTTCTTCTTCAAACGCTTAATCAAACTGGCCATTTTCAAGATGTCTCTTACCAATTCCACCAACATATTATTAAAACCCATAGAATCTTCTGGATTCAACGAGGGTACAAATACCATATTGGGTTCTCTCAACTCTAAGCGAGCCTCAAATAAGGGAGCATAATTATTTTCCGGATCCATATTCTCCACTATATAGCCCACACTAACACCCACTGTTTTAAGTAAATGTTCGTAGACTATATTGTCTACAAAGTCCACATAATTCAGCCACATTTCATCATCCTGTTTATCTTCCATATCGAATTGTTTGATATTGTCATGCAGAAGTTGATGTATATCATCTGATGCTGCCATAATTTCAGCATATCTCTTAGCCGTACGATCGGGCCTCTCATCTATACACAGCACCGCATCTTTTTTACCATCTTTACGCTCGAATAGTGGATGTTTAATCCACACCGACATAATATTGTGTATTTGCCTCAAATTGCCTTGGGTATGATCCATGCGATTTTGTAAAGCGGCCACAGGTTGCCGAAGTTTTTGTAAATATGTCATAATATCTGAAAATTAATAAGAAATTTTAAACTACAAATAAAATATCGGAAAATTTCAATGAACTCACCTTCCGAATTCCAAACCAATTCATTAATGCCCACCTCTACTAAATC